AACGGAGCCCCGGGCTGTCTCCATCCCCATCCCTGCCAGTAGGAGCAGCTATAACATTCACCTTCCAGAAGCAGGAGGAAAGTGAGTGCTGCTGTGGAGGTGGCGGGCTTAGATTAGAATTTTGTGTGTGTCGCTGCATAGGCATGTTAAGGGAACAATAGCATGTTAAGGGAACTCCCGGCTGCACGAGGGAGGAGAGGCAGGGCTGAGCTCTCACCTCACGTGCCAATGAAAATTGGCTCGCGTGCCACTTGTGGCAGGTGTGTCGTAGTTTGCTGATCCCTGAGTTACATACCTATCCCTTACCCAAGTGAATACCTACTTTGTTGCTTAATATGGGTAAGTTTTAGAATACCAATGAAATTTATAAATGAATGGATTTTAAAATGGCATGATTCACAACAATCTTCTGCTAAAACACATATTCTGGACAGAGTCACTATAGCTTAACAAGACTTTCATAACATGAATGTTTTCAGAGGCTGCACAAAGATTTATATTCTTACCAACTGATGTACCAGGTAAGTTAGATACATTTAAAATTACTTTTAAAACAAGTGAGTATATGAAAATGCCTACTCACCATTTACAAGGAAGTTTTTCAGGCCAATATTATTGTACATGCAACATACAGAAATTTGAATTGGTATTCATGTGTACATCACCTTTCATTTAGGCTACGTCTAAACTGCACTCCTCTGTTGGCAAAGGGATGTAAATTAGATTTTTCAAAAGTGCAAATGAAGCGGGTATTTAAATATCCAGTGTTTCATTTGCATAATCGTGTTCTGGCACTGTTTGGAACAAGCGCCATTTCGAAACTGAAACCGTGGTTTAGACATGGTTTCTCCAACAATGGGGTGATTTTTTGAAAGATCCTGTACTCCTCGGATCTAAACCGCGGTTTCAATTTCAAAATGGTGCTTGTTCGAAACAGCACCAGAATGCGATTATGCAAATGAAGTGTGGGATATTTAAATCCCACTTCATTTGCACTTTCGAAACGTCTAATTTACATCCCTCTGCCAACAGAGGGGTGTAGTTTGGATGTAGCCTTACTGGTTCTAAGTCTCATGGTTGTTCCATACAGAATGAACACTCACAGGCATATTATTTTGACATACAATACTGCATCATATTAAGTTTGCCTGAAACTAGTTGCCTTAGTAAAGGTATAGCACTGTAACAAGAAATAGCTTTTATTAAGCATGTACTGGACTCCCACAGTTTGTTTTCAAATAACCCACTTTTTCTAACTCAAGAAAGGCTTGACACTTGGAGGCTTTTTTTTAGTGGTGTAGCGACATTTAGGCTACGTCTACACTGCGCGTTGTTGCGCAAGAAGATACGCGAATGAGGTGTGGCAATGAATGTCACCATGCCTCATTTGCATACCTAATGAGCTGCCATTTTTGTGGAAGGAGCTTTTGCGCAAGAAGGCACCGTCTACATGGCTAATTCTTGCGCAAAAATCCCCTCTTGCACAGGAGCCGTTCTGCTACTTCTTTTCAGGAAGAACGGCTCCTGCACAAGAGGGTGTTTTTGCGCAAGAAGGAGCAGTGTAGACAGCTCCTTCTTGCACAAAAGCTCCTTCCACAAAAATGGCAGCTCATTAGGTATGCAAATAAGGCATGGTGATATTCATCACCCTACCTCATTTGCATATCTTCTTGCACAACAATGTGCAGTGTAGACAAAGCTTTAGGGTACATATATACTGCAACACTATTTTGGGATATCGGAATGCCTGAAATAGCTATCCCGCGTCTTCACAGCATGTCCGTTATTTCAAGCTCACTATTCCGATGTCCCTGTAAACATCATTTTACGAGGAGTAAGGGATGTTTTGGAATAGTGTTTTATTTTGAAATTTGGTGTTGTGTAAACAGCAACAAATAACAAAATAAGCTACAGGCAGTCCCCGGGTTACGTACAAGATAGGGACTATAGGTTTGTTCTTAAGTTGAATTTGTATGTAAGTCGGAACTGGCTCCAGATTCAGCCGCTGCTGAAACTGATCAGAGGCTGACTACAGGAAGCCCTAGGCAGAGTTGCTCTGCCCCCGGCTTCCTGGAATCAGCCGCTGATCAG